TATTGCCCACCTCAGGTCACGCGTATCTTGCAAAGTTTCTAGTTTCCTGTCCAAACTATGTGATTTTTGGGTTTTCTTGTGAGTTATTCGTGTACCCAACATCCTGGCTAAGTGGTTTCTGACAGGTGAATCTGTGAATCTGTCTCGTTTCATGGCCCCTGCAGCCCCTCCCCCCGCAGCCCCCTTCCTCGCAATGCTATCAAGTATGTCAGCTGTTAGCAAGCATCCGTCCCTCTCAATTCCTGGCATATAGATGGGGAAGAAATGGAGGTAGTGACAGATTTTATCTTCTTGGGCTCCAAGATCACCGTAGATGGGGACTGCAGCCAAGAAATTAAAAGATGCTTGCTCCTGGGGAGGAAAGCTATGGCAAATCTAGACAGCATACTAAAAAGCAGAGACATCACCCTGCCAACAAAAGTAAGTAGAGTCAAGGCCATGGTTTTCCCAGTTGCAACGTCTGGCTGTGAAAGTTGGACCATGAGAAAGGCTGAGCACCAAAGAATGGATGCCTTTGGACTATGGTGCTGGAGAAGACTCCTGCGAGTCCCCTGGACTGCAAGGCGATCCAACCGGTCAGTCCTAGAGGAGATCAACCCCGACTGCTCTTTAGAAGGCCAGATCCTGAGGTTGAAACTCAAGTACTTTGGCCACCTAATGAGAAGGAAGGACTCCCTGGAGAAGGGCCTAATGCTGGGAAAGATGGAGGGCAATAGAAGAAGGGGACGATGGAGAATGAGGGGGCTGGATGGAGTCACTGAAGCAGTAGGCGTGAGCTTCAATGGACTCCAGAAGATGGTAGAGGACAGGAAGGCCTGGAGGAACGTGGTCCATGGGGTCGCGACGGGTCGGACACGACTTCGCAACTAACAACAACTGCAAACCCCCTAGCGAGCAGAAAGAAAAAAAGTGGTTTAATTGTCTAAGAGTAAATGTTTCTCTCGCCATTCATCTTCTCATGTCCATCACACCCACACCTGGGTCCTATCTCCACCGATGACTCTTCTTCTGGTCCCCAGGGCCTCACCTGCAGGTATATTCTTTCATCTGACTCTTCATACAAAATGTGTTTTCTTAGAAGGAGCTTTTCAAGCGTCGGCTCTGGAATCTGGGTGGAACAAAGGAGAAGGAAATGAATGGTAGATCGAAAATAAACAGGATCGCGCAATCTAAATATATTTTTGACCTCAACACAGCCCCGTACAGGAATGGTTTTTGCATCGAAAACAATGCCAACAGTGACAGAAGAATAATTAATTAATATTTCTCGGCACCCTGGCCAAGCCCTCGAAAGCCTACCTATCACCACTTTGGACATGCTTTCTGATTTATTGTGTTACACTTGAACACCCAAGCACAGGTTTTATTTATCTTACTTCTTTCTTTTATTTCACCGTTTCCACCCTTCCTGCGGGCTAACTACAATATCCCAGGCCCCATTCTTTCCATCGTATTTTGGTAGCCAAGATAAACTTGTCTGAAAGTTTAGTTATTTATTTATTTTTTTGGTGATGGCCCAAGGCACAACACAATTTCTGCAAGCATGCCAGGAAGATAGCAGGTTCCATGGCGGACACGTTGGCTCCTTTCCAGGTTAGACTTCTACTTGCAGGGAATTGGCGTTGACTTCTAGTAACAGAGAAAATTCAAAAGTCATAGCTGAAAAGGGAAGGGTCTATATATTGGCTATCAAAATCTGGTTTATTATTCTTCTTCTTTTAGGCAAGCATTTAGATGTGTATTCAGGTTTTCTTGGCCATGGGGGAAAAAAAAGGACAATTTGCATTCATAAACTCACACAGGACTGCAACTTGCGTTATAAAAGACAGGTTTTTTAGGCCAGCCATCTTGCCTTCAGCACGTAAATTTAAAAAGTTAAATTTAAAAATGTAAAATGTAGAGATTAAAAAGCCGGTTGCTCAACCAGGTTGAATTTCTACAAACACTCAAACTGGAAAATGTGTATTTTTCCCCCCCTCATATGATGTACAGCAAGCCTTGTTTGCCATCACATAACACCGATTCCTGGTTTATGTATGGTTTGTCGAGCAGCAGCCATTGAGCAAGCCTTTCTTTTAGGGCAGGGGGAATTCAAACTTGGCAACTTTTAAGACTTGTGGACTTCAACTCCCAGAATTCCTCAGCCAGCCCAGCGCTGGGCTGGCTGAGGAATTCTGGGAGTTGAAGTCCACAAGTCTTAAAGTTGCCAAGTCTGAATAGCCATGTTTTAGGGTTTGTAATGCAACCCGGTCTGTTCAAAGGGTGGGCCGACCTGCTGTCAAACTCAAGCCACTCTTCCTCCTGGAGATTCATTCTCCAGGTAGACTGCCCCCAAAGCTGGAGGTTTTACACGACTCTCTCCTTTTACCCCGAGATTAAATCTAAATATAGCATTGGTTGATCAAGCTCCAATCTCAGTGTTTCTCAACCCGGGCAACTGTAAGATGGGTGGACTTCAACTCCCAGAATTCCCTAGCTGGCAAGGGAATTCTGGGAGTTGAAGTCCATCCATCTTAAAGTTGCCCAGGTTGAGAAACGTTGCCCAAATCCAAGGGAGAAAAAAACAAACAAACAGGACATTTGGGGTTATGGGGAAGGAGACTTTAAACTAGCCTGGAACAAGCAGATGTTGGTTGAACCCCTGACCTGTTTTTTTTTTCCCCAATCCCTTTGATATCTGGACATCTTTGGCCAGACACACAAACACACACACACACACAGAGTCCAAATTTTATCAGCCATTTCCACCCCTGTGAAAGTACAGCTTGTTCCTCTCTCTTCTGCTTTCCTATCTAAGTCTTCAGTTTCCTTCTAGCCTTTAGCCTCTTTTGGCTTCTCCACATCTGTCCACATCTGGCAAACAGGGTGGGGGGGCTTGTGGGGAGGGTGGAGAAAGGAGGGAGGCTGGGAATCCCCCCTCCTTGGCCGGCTGACCCCTCAACTCTCCTTTCCCTGGCGCTGAGTCAGGGGACAGAAAAAGGAGAAGGGAGACAGAGCTTGCGAAAGTTCTTAGGGACTAGAAACTTGGCACGCCTGCATTGGAGGGAAAGACGGGGTCAACGCTAGTCACAAGGCTGGATGCGATTACACACACACACACACACAGACATGAAGCAAAGTCCCCGAACTGTGGCAAAGGTTTTCACATGATACACGGAACGTGATTTCTTGAATTTGGGCTTAGCTGCTTGGATATTCAGTTTGCGAGGCAAATTGTGTTTCCTTCACAACGAAGCGTCTGCAGGATGTGTGAATGCCGGCAATGTGTTTCCAGGGAGAACGGGATGTTTTGAATCTGGATACCCCTGGAGGATTTTGCATTTAACAGCCTTCTCCCAGTTCGTAGATGCCTTTCGCCACCACCCGCCTCTCGTCCTCGACTTACACATTTCCATTGTTAAGTCAGGTTGTTAAGCGAGTCACATTCAGTTTTACAACCATATTTTTTTTTTGGCCACAGTTTGTTAAGCAAATCGCTGCAGTCGTTAAGCGAGTCGTACGGTCGTTAAGCGAATCCGGCTTGCTCCCATTGATTTGGCCTGTCAGAAGCCGTCTGGGAAGGCCGCAAAGGGAGATCACGTGACCCTGGGACGCTGTTGCTAAGCAAGGCGGTTGCTAACCGTCGTAAATACATGCCTGTTTGCCAAGCACCCCAGTTTTGATCATGTAACTGGCGATACTATAACGGTCATAAGTGCGAGGACCGGTCGTAAAGTCACTTTTTTCTCCAGTGCCCTTGTAACTGTCAGTAGTGGTAAGTTGAAACAACCCTTTACTTTTTGAAAGAGGCATGAGGGGGGGGGAAAAAAGTCAAAATATTCCCGCCTTGCTTTGTTTGGTTAGGTCCAAATTTTGATCATGTGACGGTCGTAAGAGCGAGGACCGGTCGTAAAGTCATTTTTTTCTCATTTTAACTTCAAACGGTCGCTAAATGAATGGTTGTAAGTTGAGGACCACCTGTAGCTTTAAGGAAAATCTTATTTTTCTAATAAAACTCACCTGGTCAACCGGCTGGAATCCTAAACCTCAGAGGGAGAAGCCCTTTGCAAGGATCATCCCAGCTGGTAAAACTGTAAAAAAAATATTGCAGTAATGGAAGCAGATCTTTGTTATCGGGGGTTTGTGATTTAGCACGGTTTGTGAATTCGGCTCATTGTGGTTTATGGCGTGAACCTCGGTGAAACAAACTATGGCTTAGTGTGTGGCTTGCTTGTCTGTGCTACCACTTGAATGGAGATGCTTGATTGGCAGGGATGCAAGTATCGTATGACTCTAGGCTGTTGAAGCTGGCTTGATCCATACATAAGCCATTGTTAAACAGGGGCTTAATGTCCAGGCCTAGGACTCTAACTTATAAGGCAGGGTCTTCAAACTTGGCCCTTTGATGACTTGTGGACTTCAACTCCCAAAATTCCTCAGCTAGTCATGCTGGCTGAGGAATTCTGGGAGTTGAAGTCCACAAGTCATCAAAGGGTCATAGTTCCCTCACGCTGGCTGAGGAATTCTGGGAGCTGAAGTCCGCAAGTCATCAAAGGACCCAGTTTGAAGATCCCTGCTTGTGGACTTCAACTCCCAGAATTCCTCAGCCAGGCATGCTGGCTGAGGAATTCTGGGAGTTGAAGTCCACAAGTCCTAAAAGGGCCAAGTTTGAAAACGCCTGTTTTAGACCAAATGCTTGATTGCCCGGAAAGATGGAGGCAAGTTGTGAGTTTTCCTGCAATACAACTGCATAGCCAGAAGTTGCATCGTAACCCCAGGGACCTCTCGGCTGCTCTTTGCCTGGCCTTGCCAGCCGGTCTTTTGGGGGCTCCGATGCCATTCCGGAATCTCTACCCTGTCTTTTTCATCACCTCTCCAGCTTCTTCCTGGGGACGCTCGGATGCAAACAGAGAAACGATTAACCAAATCAAACAAAGTTGGTCCTTCCGCTGTCTAGCCTCGAATTAGGGCTTGTGTGGCTAAACCCCCCCCCCCCCCGTTCTTCCTCCTCTGCAGACGCCATGCCTGTATCGGATCCACGGGGAGATGCAGGCCGGTGGGCCAACGTCAGCTACCGGGTACGCCAGCCGAATTCGCCAGAACCGGCTCCCAGGAGGAAACCAAATTGGTTTCACAAATTTTGCCGGTGCTGCGCGCGCCAGCGGGATGACACCGACTGGAGACCTGCACCAGGCGAAGTCCCGGGAGCCCGGCGAACAGATCCTGTCATCCGGGGTGAGTTGTTGGGGAGCTGAGAGACCACCTCAAACCTCCAGAGAGAGATTATTTGGGGGGGGGGGTGAGAGGTGAGCTCAGTCGGGGGCAAAATTCCACCCAATCTCAATCAGAACAGAGCTGGATGGGACCTTGGAGGTCCTCTAGTCCAACCCCCTGTTCAGGCAGGAGACTCTATACCAGAGGTCTTCAAATTTGGCCCTTTGATGACTTGTGGAGTTCGACTCCCAGAATCCTTCAGCCAGCGTGTCTGGCTGAGGAATTCTGGGAGTCGAAGTCCACAAATCATCAAAGGGCCAAGTTTGAAGAGCCCTGCCCTAGGCCTAGACCAGGGGTAGGCAACCTTGGCTCTTTTATGACTCGTGGACTTAAACTCCCAGAATTCCTGAGCCAGCATGGCTCAGCTTGGAAACTCTCCCTTTCCCCTCAGCATGGCTGGCTCAGGAATTCTGGGAGTTGAAGTCCACAAGTCATAAAAGAGCCAAGGTTGCCTACCCCTGGCCTAGACCATTTCAGATAGGTGGCTGTTCAGTCTATTCTTAAAAACCTCCAGTGATGGAGCACCTACAAGTTCTAGTGGCAAGCTGTTCCACTGGTTAATTGTTCTCATTGTCAGGAAGCTTCTCCTTAATTCAAGGTTGCTTCTCTCCTTGATTAGATCCCACCCATTGCTTCTTGTCCTGCCTTCAGGCACTTTGGAAAATAAATTGACCCCCTCTTCTTTGTGGCAGCTCCTGAGATATTGGAACACTGCTATCATGTCATCCCCCAGTCCTTCTCTTTGTTAGAGTAACAGAATAACAGAAGGGACCTTGGAGGTCCTCTAGTCCAACCCCCTGCTCAAGCAGGAAACCCTATTCCATTTCAGACAGGTGGCTGTCCAGTCTCTTCTTAAAAACCTCCAGTGATGGAGCACCCAGAACTTCTGGTGGCAAGCTGTTCCACTGATTAATTGTTCTCACTGCCAGGAAGTTTCTCCTTAATTCCAGGTTGCTTCTCTCCTTGATGAGTTTCCACCTGTTGCTCCTTGTCCTGCCTTCAGATGCTTGGGAAAATAGCTTGACTCCCTCTTTTTTGTGGCAGCCCCTCAAATATTGGAAGGCTGCTATCCCGTCACCCCTAGTCCTTTTTCTTCATTAGACTAGACATACCTCATTCCTGCAACTGCTCTTTATTGTACAGTACTTCTAGATTTTAAAGTTTGGTTTGGAAAAATGAACAATCTTTCCCCCCACCAATTAAATCCAGGAGGAACACCCCATCCCTGTTAATTTTCCTGGAAAACAGGCGGGGTAGACATGCAAAACCATCCATTAAAATTATCCTTTGGCTTCTGAGATGTTTCCAGATGTTTCTCAGCAGTTTGGCGACAATTCGGGCCGGCGTTTTGCAACCTGGGCCACTTTGAGATGGGTGGACTTCAACTCCCAGAACTCCCTGCGGGCTGGGGAATTCTGGGAGTTGAAGTCCAGCCATCTTAGGGTTCAGAAATGTAGATAATCCTTGACTTACGACCACAACTGGGCCCCCAAATCTCTGTTCCTCAGAGAGACACTTATTAAGTGAGTTTTGCTCCCGTTGTTAAATGAATCTCTCCAGTTATTAAGTTAGTGAGACAAGTTGTAAAGTCAGTCTGGATTCCCCCGTCGACTTTGCTGGTCAGAAGGGGATCACATGACACACACACCCCGGGACACTGCGACCGTCATAAATAGGAGCCGGTCGCCAAGCGTCCGAATTTGGATCACGTGACGATGCCGCGGCGGTCGTCAACGTGAAAAAAAAAAACCGGTCCCAAGTCACTTTTTTTCAGTGACATTGTTGTAACTCTGAACGGTCACTAAACGAAGCGTTGTAAGTTGAGGACTGCCCATGCTGGTTTAAAGCGTCCATATTTGCAGCCATCTTCACATTCTCCTCTCTGAACTGAGTTCCAGTTTGGTGGGTTCCGAAGGGCAGAAATTTCCCCTGGTTTTGCATCTTGCAAAGCCTTCAAATTAGGCCGGATATTTAACAACAACAACAACAACAACAACAACAACAACAACAATAATAATAATAATAATAATAATAATAAAGTTGGAAGGGACCTTGGAGGTCATCTAGTCCAACCCCCTGCTCAGGCAGGAAACCCTATACCAGGGGTAGGCCACCTTGGCTCTTTTATGACTTGTGGACTTCAACTCCCAGAATTCTTGAGCCAGCATGGCTGAGCTTGGAAACCTCTCCCTTTCCCCTCAGCATGGCTGGCTCAGGAATTCTGGGAGTTGAAGTCCACCAGTCATAAAAGGGTCATAGTTCCCTCATGCTGGCTGAGGAATTCTGGGAGTTGAAGTCCACAAGTCATAAAAGGGTCATAGTTCCCTCACGCTGGCTCAGGAATTCTGGGAGTTGAAGTCCACAAGTCATAAAAGGGTCATAGTTCCCTCACGCTGGCTGAGGAATTCTGGGAGTTGAAGTCCACCAGTCATAAAAGGGTCATAGTTCCCCCATGCTGGCTGAGGAATTCTGGGAGTTGAAGTCCACCAGTCATAAAAGGGTCATAGTTCCCTCACGCTGGCTCAGGAATTCTGGGAGTTGAAGTCCACCAGTCATAAAAGAGTCAAGGTTGCCTACCCCTGCCCTAAACCATCTCAGACAAAAGGCTGTCCAGTCTCTTCTTAAAAACCTCCAGTGTTGGAGCATCCACCGCTTCTGGAGGCAGGTGGTTCCACTGGTTCATTGTCCTCACTGTCAGGAAGTTTCTGACAGTTTTAGACAGTTTGCAAGTTTCTTTTGTGGTCTTTGAAGCCACAATCTGGATCTGGATGCCAAAACGGATCCTGGCCGGAGTGAGCGACTCTCCTCTCCTTTCCCCCCCACCCACAGAGGGCATGCTGGTCATCAAAAAGATCGATTTAATGAGCGGCCGCACGGGGGCCAACCGGTGCGCCCACCACACCGACGAGTACGAATACAACAACCTGATCATCCGTCGCGGGCAGCCCTTCGACATGACGCTTCACTTCCAGCAGCCGTACGATTACGAAGACCACCGGATCTGCCTCGAGTTCCTGATTGGTAAGTCTGCCAAAGGGATGGTTCCTTCGGGGTTTCTAGTCCTCATGGCTCCCCCTGGGAGGCCTGAAAGTAGAATGTCGGCGAGGCGGGAGGCTGGCCGTGTTTCAGTGGCCAGGAGAGGGGCTGGGGATGCACCGTCATGCGTGGCCCATGTATGTTTTGGAGATCATATCTGAGCCTTGGGAGGGGGGACCTGGTTGGTTCTAAACTTGGAAAAGGTGACCTTTTATTTCTTGTCTTCCTTCCTTCCATTCACCCATCCTTCCATCCATCTCTCCATCTCCTTCCTTCTTACCTTCCTTCCTTCCTTCCTTCCTGCCTTCCTTTCCTGCCTGCCTGCCTTTCCTTCCTTTCTCCCTCTCTCTTGTCCTCCCTCCCTCCCTCCTTTCCTTTCCTTTCCTCCCTCCTTATTCCAATCTCCTTCCTTCCCTCCCTCCCTCCCTCTCTCTCCTTCCTTCCTTCCTTCCCTCCCTCCCTTCTTATTCCAGTCTTCTTCCTTCCTTCCTTCCCTCCTTCTTCCTTCCTTCCTTCCTCCTTCCTTATTCCTTCCTTCCTTCCCTCCCTTCTTATTCCAGTCTTCTTCCTTCTCTCCCTCCCTCCCTCCCTCCCTCCCTCTCCTTCCTTCCTTCCTTCCTTCCTTCCTTCCTTCCTTCCTTCCTTCCTTCCTTCCTTCCTTCCTTCCCTCCTTATTCCAGTCTTCTTCCTTCC